GCTGAGCTTTGTAAGCAAACAAGAAATGAAGATATTCCAGCTTCAGATGTTGATAAAAAATCATCATCTATGATGATTCCAGATCATGAAATTGAGATGACTGACACTCAAAGTGATTGTCAGATTCATAAAATAACTTCTGAGTTTGTTAATGAGTCCATAGGTGTTCTTCCTATAAAAACAACTATTTCAAAAGGTTCTACACATGAAGATGCTACCACTTCTTCCTTGCCCAATCATTCAAGTTTTGAAGGTTTCGAAGCTTATGAGATTTTGGACAACTCTCCTGGAGAAGATGCAACAAAAATGAAAAACACTCTTGTACCTCGTGTAATTGTGAAAGGTGATAACCCTTTTAAAATATCAATTACTGAAGAAATTCCTCTATCAATTAGAGATGAATTCAGTAAGTTTGTTGAGACAAACTTGATCCTAACTAAGAGGTAAATTTATATATATTTAACATATGTTTTGATTGAAGTTTCTTTGGAATGATAGTTTGGACTATTCTATTTATATATTTATTAAACTTTTTAGGAAGAAGGGATATGAAGAGAAGGATGATATACTGGAGTAAGAGTTTGATCTTGGAGTTGAATTTATAGCTAATAAGACATGGTTTTTTGAACTTCATTATACTGGTATAGGAATCAATGAAACGGTATGTGAACATACATTACTTTTTTTGTTTTATTTTAGAATAAATATGTTTCTGTATATTCGATTGATATCTGTTTTCTTTTTGAAGCATATTGATGTTATATTCTATTACCCCCGGAAGAAAGCAAAATATGAAAACATAAGGATGACAACTACAGACAATTATTTCAGTACTATCATTCAAGAAGTGTACAGTAAATCGAATATGCATGACATAAAGGTACAAAATGAGATTTTTGATTTGACAAAGAAGTTAAGAGAGTATGTTCTTGGGTTTTACATTCTTGGTAACACCCCCTGGGTTTCCGTGGATTATGTTCTTATGCCAATCAATGTAAAAGAGGCATGACATTGGGTGTTGGGTGTTCTATCTTTGCATACTGGGTGCATATACATATATGACTCAATAAGATCCTCAAGACATGATGCTGTAGTTCATAAAGCTTTGAACTCATTTGCTGTAATGATACCATTGTTGCTCAACACTACTACATTTTATCAGCAAAGAAGTGACATTACAATGGATAAACCACATTTTTTGGAAAAAGAGGAGCTAAGTAATCCATTTGCTATTATTTCAGAGGATAACTTGCCTCAACAGGAAAAAGCGTAAGTGTTTTGCTATGTTTATCCTGCTTCTTTATATTACTTCAGCTATTTATCGTTTATTGTTTTAACTTATTCTTTCTTAATATGTGTTTTATTGTAGTGATTGTGGTATATATTGTTCTGCATTTGCGGAGTATTTCATTGAAGGCAAGGAGTTACCAGATGACAAGAACATGTTTGATCCTACACGTCTTCGATTAAGATATGCAGCATTACTATACATTTATGGTAAAAAGAAGCAGTTGGAATCTCTTGTTAGTGAAGATGAGTCTACAGGAAGACTAGATAAACCTTCTGTTTCAAAAAGGCGCAAGATTAAGAACAATAAATAATTTTTTGTTCTTTTCAGTAATTGACTACATACTTTTGATTGAAATGCAGATTATTATGCTATATATTATGATAGAATTAAATAATTTAATATTTCGTTTCCTGTATATTATACTGGAGTTTTATTATTACGACCCAGATCCACTACGGGTCGTGATGGCGCCGGACACCGCTGTCAGGCAAGCCAACTAAATTACCAATTAAATTCTCTTTTTATAACTTTGAAAACCTAGGAGTTTTACTTCCATTTTTCATATATAAAACAATCTCTGTTCAATTCAAATGAAGAAATTAACTATTAATACACATCTTCAAAGAAAACCATCCCAAAACCCGGTGTCACAAGTACATGAGCAACTACTGATAAGGAAAATAAAATACAAATATCTGTCCGAAATACAGTGGACAGAGAATCAATAAATAAAGTACTGGAAGGGGACTACTCTAGCTGCGGGTCGTCTCGAACAATGCGGCTCACCAAGTCCCCAAATCATCCGGGCTGCTACCTAAAGTAACATATACATGTGCAACAAAAATGCACAGAAGTGTAGTATGAGTACGTAATCAACGTGTACTCAGTGAGTATCCCGCCTAACCTCGGAGAGGTAGAGACGAGATGGTCAACCTGGACACTCACTAGCGGTCCAATAATAATATCTTAAATGCGTGGGGAAATCATGGATTCATATAGCATGTTCTAATTCACAAAGCTGTAAAACTTTTTAACAATTTACAAAGGACTTTCAAGGTTTTACTTTTCTTCATTTAATCAGTTCATCTTAAGCCATGAAAGGCAGTGTCATCATTTAAGATTCCTCATGCATCAATATATAAAAGATATCATGCGCAAATCATACCGAGGCGACGGCCCGATCCAACAGAAAGTAAATGTGCACTTGGCGAGGGTCGACGGCGCGCCTATAGATGCATCTATTAATCTGCCGAGGCGTTCGGCCCGTTCCAAAATAAACACACACAGATAGACAGTCAGTCAATAAGTCAACATGGAGCAATTATCCAAGAAAGGCCAACTTTCTTTAAATACTCTGAGGAAGCGAAGCTTAAGTCGTTTTAGAAATCCATTTATAAATTTAATGTGATTTAAGAAATCCAAACCCTCAAAGGGTTCACAATTAATCCAAATATAACATGCTCAATCAATCAAGTAAGAACTTATCAGAGAGCGTTTATCGATATATATATAAATTCCTCTTTTAACAAAATTTTACAAGTAAGGTTAAATCTCTTTGGAAATTCATTTACAAATTCCATGTGACACAAGCAATTTGAGCTATCCAACAATTTACAATTAATTCAAGTATTCATGCTTTTGGGTCCTAGCTACCCGGACAATAGCAAATAGTAGCTACGCACGGACTCTCGTCACCTCGTGCGTACGTAGCCCCCGCAAATAGGAGCACATAACCAATTTAACTCACCTATGGGGTAAATTCCCCCTCACAAGATTAGAAAGGAGACTCACCTCGCTCCGAAGACTCATAACCGGCGTTCTACATTCTTCCGAAGGCTTGAACCGACGCACAATGCACCAAAGCTAGCCAATTAACGACAAACTAATGAGAACATGCTCAAATACTTGTTAGAAATTCAAATTATACAGATTCCCAACTCCGCGTAGTGGAATGACCAAAATACCCTCGGGCCTACGTGCCCGGATTCCGAAATTTCTAGAAGAAAAAGGTTACCCATGACCTTAGGAACTCAAATATATGATTTTCTCCTAATTACATACTCAAAATCGTGGTCAAATTCGAAGAAATGTAAATTCCTAGGTTTTCCACCAAAACCCCAAATTTCCATAATTTCCTTGCCTAAATCCCTGTATAAACCTTGTATTTAACTCAAAGCTAGCATAAATTACTTACCTCATGACAAGTGACGAAAGTGGCATCTCCAAGCTGCTCCCCATCGACTCCAATGGAAAAAAATGGGGTTGAAATGAACTCAACCCCGAACTTAAAACATCTCACTGCCCCAGCTGCTTCCGCTTC